CTTAAAGTTCAGCCAGTTCCAACCCCCTGCCACAGGTAGGGACACCTTCCACTAGAGCAGGTTACTCCAAGGCCCATCTAAGCTGGCCTTGAACAGTGGGGGGAGATTGGGGCAGCCACAGCTTCTCTGGACTAGTCTTACCAAGTGATTTATTTTTAAGTGCTTGGTCAGGTTAATTTCTGCTAATTTCAGGATGCTTTCTGTTTTATACTACCTTTTCCTTAACTGATTGATTGGATCTTTATTTTAAAAAAGCATTCAGTCAGGGAACGGGGATTTGGGAAGCAGGGGGTTGGTGTCAGCAGATGACTTCAGGCTGTCTCTAAAAAGCATTCATAAATTTTCTTTGCACTTTAAATTTCCTTAAAGTGTCATGATTGTAGCATGCTTATACCTCTCAGCAAGTGGAGTCTTTGCATTTGAGAAAGGACAAACAACTTTAAATATTTGTAGATGCCTTAAAGGTTGAGATGAGGTGTTTGGGTCCTGGTTGTGCCTCTTGTTCGATTTTCCCCCTGGATCACTGTGTGGTGAGAATGCAGAGCAGGTCCAAACCTTGGCAGGTATTTCTGAGTGTTGGTGGAAGCTGCTGTTGCACTCTGCTGCTGATCTGAGCCTGGAGTTCCTACTGAACTCAGCTGAAAGAGCTGGGAGCTCCCGTGGCTGTACAGCTGTCTGGGCTTACACCTTCTCTTTCTCCCCCTCCCCCAGAAATGTGTCTCTCCAGCTCTAACGGGTGTTCCTGGGGTGGTGTAGAGTACTCTGTGAGTGTCCCATTGTATTAAAGGAAACAGTTCCCTGCTTGAACGCTTCCCTGCTGAACCAGCTGATGTTTGCAGGAGAAGCAGGAGCAGAGGGATCTTCTGCCACCCATAAGGTTTGTGGAGATCGCCCAGAGACTTCCCATCTCCCATTTGTCTCAAAGCTCTGCTGGGCTCCTGATGTCAGACTGGCTCTAAGTTACAGCACAAAACAACGCTGCTTTGCAGGTATGACACGCTTCACTGCCAGAGAAGCCACCTTAGCCACACTTAGGGGAAGGAGCGCATGTGTGCTGTGAGTGCAGCTGGTTCCAGACTGGTGGCAGGCTGATGGTAATGGTTCCAGCATCTTCAGCAGGAGTGAGGGAAAACTTTTGGTCTAGATGAGCTCCAGGCTGCTGCTCCTGAGACAAGGCCTTTTCTTCCTGTCTCTTTCTGCTCTATCCTAGCTGTGTATGTGTGATGGCTTTTGCATACACAGCTGTTCCAGGAGCCTTGAATTCTGCAGGAGAAGATCTCCCTGTTTTGGAAAGACACCTAGTGCATGTCTCCTGAGAGGAGACTGCCATCTGCACCAGTACCTCCCTTCTCCAGCGTTGCTTGCGGGTATCAATATACCAGTATGTGTCCAAAGCTCTTTCATGCTCTTACCAATCTCCAGAGTTCAGAGGGCTCGGAGGACTCCTGAAGTGTGCTGCTGCTGAAATTTTAAGAACAACTGAAGTTTGAACCTGTGAAAACATTTTCCTAGTGCCTTACGCTTGTGAGTGTTGTGCAATGGATGTAGCTGAGGTGGGACAGAGCGAGAAACAACTTCAGTAGCGTCGTTCCCCATTCACTTCAGTCATCTCCCTTTCCCCTTGCAGTGTCGTGGCAGGCAGACAACCACAGATCACCTCTAGCAGCCTGGGGATGCTTTTTTATACTTTTGAGATGTGGGGTTGTAGAAGCCTCACACTGTGTGGTTGCATTTGAGAGGAGCTGTGTTCTCACTTCTGCCAGTCTTGGATTCAGAGGGGTTTGGGAGAGACAAAGCTGCTCTGATGGCTAAACCCTATGGTGGAGGACATGGGCAGCTGTTCCCCAAGCACACAAGGCAGGGTGAGTTTGCTGCTGTCCATTGAGGCCATGTTATATATGCTGTACTTATTTCATGCTTTATTTCATTTCATGTTTTGATTGGCCTAAATGTTGCCTGGTTTGTATATTAATAAAGAGGCATTTTAACTACTCCTGAAGTCGGTGATTTGTTGCGCAGGAGCTTCATGTGTCCTTCAGGATCCAAACCCCTGGTTATCTGGATGGCGTCCTGCTGGGGCTCCGGGCCTGTTCCAGGGTCCAGCCTTTGGGAGCTGAGAGCTGGAGCCTCTGTTTTAGGTTCCAGGGAGGGTCAGGAGAGCCACAGCAGACATGGATGCAAGTTCTGCATCACCTAATGGTGTGCTCTGGCTGGAGCAGTAGTGTCAGGCTCTGCTGCTGGGCAGCTCCTGCTTTGCTGCAAAAGTGTAAATCACAACTGGTGGCTCGTGTCCAGGCCTAATGGAGAGGAGAGAGGAGAGCAGAGCATCCTCCCAGCCCCACCAATCCTTCTGCTCCCTTTCCCTCCTTTCCTGAAATGAAAGGTGTCCCTGCCTACGACAGACAGTTGGAACTGGGTGAGCTTTAAGTTCCCTTCCAACTCAAACCATCCTCTGATTGAAATGTAGAGTGTCTTGAGCCAAAACACATTTCTAAATCAGTGTCTTGCCTCCCCTCAAGGGTTCTGTTGGAGGTGCCATTGCAGGAATTGCTTCTTGCTGCCCTGTCTGGTGGTTGCAGGCCCGTGGGTCCTCAGTCCCACTGTCCTCCACCCCAAGCCCATTACCCTGGTACAGACAAAGCAATGTGGTGGCCTGGCGTAGCACAAGATACAGGGGACTGCGCTTCCCTCTGTAAATGTGACAATCCTCACAAAGCTGTTCTTTTTGCCTTTAGAAGACAGAACATTCAGAAAGGAAAGCAGCAGAGGGAAGAAAACTGGCTTCAGTGTTTCAGGTTTGCAGGACTCCCGGGGTAACGGTTGGACTTGATGATCTTAACCATTTTTTTCCAACCTGGTTGATTCTAGGGTTCTATGCAGCTGGCAGGGCTACCAAAAGGAAAACACAGTGCAGTTCTGATGCATGTTTTTTATTGTCTTTTCTTAAGAAAAAAAAAAGTTGTTTTAAGACAGTTGTGTGCAGAAATCTCCATGTACACAGAGGCTACAGGCAAAGGCACCCCCTGCTCCCAGCCCTAGCTCAGAGCTCTGGTGTCTCTCCCCAGAGGGTGGGACGTGATGGGTGCTCCATCAGGCACTGCGTGATGAAGACCAAGCCTGGGCACTTCCTGCCTGCCCACAGCCTCTGCCTGACACCTCCTCTATGTACAGTACAGTGGTATTCATCGCAACGGCTCCCTGCCAGCCGTGCAGCATCCTCCTCCTGTGCCTGGCCAGCAGCTGCTGTGCCAGAGAAACAGAAGGTACAAGTCCTAGCAGGGCAGCTTAAATAAACATAATAATTGAAAACCAAAAGGGGGTAGGGGAATGAAATCAGCCCAATAAAAATACTCTCAGGGCAGCAAGGAGCCATAAGCAAGCCAGACGCTGGCACTGTGCTGCCAATGCGTTTTGTACCTGGGTTTGGTACGCAGTGCCTCTGCTTGCCCTGTGATTGTCTGGCCTGGCCCTGGGCATGGTCAGCCTTGTCACACTGGATTTGGCCTCTCCAAATGCCATTTGCCTCTCTGTCCGTGTGCCCCAGCAGCACATCCCAGATGAGACCCAGCCCTGCGTGAGGAGGGAAGCAGTTCTGACTGCTGGATAACTCAGCAAAGCCCCCACCACTGGCAAGCGAGCGGGCACAGCCTGGTGCAGCCGACAGGAAGTGGTCAAGGCACTCATTGTTGCTCGTGGTTTTGTGGGTTTAGTTTTCTTCCCCTAAAAAAAGGAGAAACAACCCAGGAAGGTGGAGACTGGGGCTTGCTGCTACCTGTCTCCATGTCATGAGGTTTGGAGCGAGGCTTGGGGCTGGCTCTGGCGATCACAGGTCATGGATGGGCTGCTTGTGCTTGTGCGGCACCGCTTCTATCAAAACCCACCATGAAACTGAGGGGATCAAAGCCCTGTGGACAGAAAAGATGAATTTCCCCAGCCCAGGGGATGCTCAGTACCTGCTCCAGGTGACCCAAACCCTCCTGTTTCACAATTGCAGAGAGAAACATCAGGAAAAAAAGAAAACTGAAGCAGGGAAGCAGGGAAGAGGCTGCTGCAGGAAAGCCTGATAAAAAAGCGTAAAATCACAAAGGGTAAAACCCCTATGGTGATTGTTCCTCAAACAGCTATTGCAACCCGGGATCCAGCCCCACAACTCCTCCCCTCTGGGGCTTAGTGCTACCACCATGCCAAGCATCAGAGTGGTCACCAGCCATGCAGGCGGGTCCCTCTCTCGGGTACCTTTTCCATGGTTGCCTTTTTTCGTTCCAGCATCTTCTAAAACAATACCAACCTAAACCCAGCCCATCTGCCTGACTGACCCGAATAAAGTGGTTTGGGTTGTATCTTTGGGGAAGCACTTCCCTTCTGCATCTGTCCCATGCCACAGGAAACCCTGGGGACCCTGAGGACAGTGGCTGGACCAGGCTGGTATCAACAAAGTCCCACCTTAATAAACAGAGCAAAGACTTTGGGATTTCAGCTTCTCACCAGAGCCGTCTGTAGCAATGCAAAAACAAAAGCACAGTTTGTTCACCCACTAAAGCTATCTCTAATCTCTTATTTTTCCCAGCCCAAAACCCAAGGGAAAACTTGTCTCCTCCCCTCTGGTGGGACTGGAGCTGCTGCTGCATTCTGCATCCCTTGAGCATCCTGCAAGCACTCGCAAAGCCCAGTCCAAGGACCAGGGCTGCTGTTCCTGTGCGGTTCTTAGCTGCCTTTTGTATGGTCACCCCTGAAATCTATCCTACCCTTCCTCAGTCCTCAGACAGGGGAGCAGGGATGACCAGCCCTGGAGCCAGGATTCCTCTCCATCTCCCAACCTGGCCATGCCAGCAGCCAACAGCCTGCAGCAGAGCATTGGCTTCCCATGGCCACCAGCTCCCCATGATGGGTTCATGCGATCCAGCTGCACCAGGACCTACTTGACATGTTGGGAGGGAGCCTTCCCTGGGGAAGCAACAGGGGCGGCTGATCCAGGTGAGGAAAAAAAACCCATATCAAAATAAAGGAAGCAAGAAGCAGCTGTTCCACCGGTGAGGCTGCTGGGCCACCAGGTCTCCCTCAGCCCAGACATGATGCTCAGGTGCTCCCCAAAGTCACCCAGCTTCAGTGGTTGGGGTGGAGGTTGTTGTCTTGTTTTAAAAAGAGCAGCATTTGGTTTGACTGTAAAGAGATGCAAGGTGGTGGCCGCCACCATCGGTCGCTGATTGTGTTTACAAATCCTTTCTCAGCTGGGTTTCTTAAGAATTAAAAAAGCAGACAGTCTCCTTTAGCTCTGAACCTGCCTGGCTGCTGAGGCACCAAGCAAGTCCAGGCTGGCTCCACCAGTGCCCTGGGGAGAACCGGGAGCCAGGCAGGCTCAGTTCCCCCGGTACACCTCAATCTTGCTAGTTTTGGACAGCATGTCGATGATGTGCGCCTCGAAATCGGCGTCATGCACTCCCGTCTTCCTGAACTCCCCGGCGTAGCGGTTGTTCTCCCAGTAATGGTGCCAGTTACCCCGGCTGTCAGCGCCAAACCCAAAGACGTTCACCTGCAGATGTGAGGAGGGGGATGAGCCAGCCCTGACCCTCACAATACGCGGGGGACCCCCCTTGGATAAGCATCCGCAACGCTGCTGGGGGGGATTTCACACCATACATCCCTCTGTTTGGCCTTTGCACTGTTCAAGGGTGCCCATCAGCATGAGGGTGCCAATCACCAGTGTCAGGCAACTGGAGGAAGTGAAACTGCTGCAGTTGGACCCAAAGAAGCCACCTTCTTCCTTAACCCAGCAAGGTTCAGGGTCCCAGCAAACCCAGCCCATGCCAGCCAGGTCCCTGCAGCCCAGAGGAGGACCCCAAGGAGCCATCACACACCTCATCGCAGACGTGGAGGGCGAAGAAGAGCACCAGCATGCCGGTGGAGGGGTAGCGCCCGTGGTGCTCTGTCCAGCGGTCATGGATGTACTTGAAGAAGGCAGGATTGTAGATCTGCACCTGGGAGGACACGCTGGGGTTAGTGCTGGAGCCAGGGCTATATTCCCCTTGGCATCAGTACCCTGGGAAGGACCACCAAGATGTGCACAGGGACCCCAGGAGAAGATGTGGTGATGGGGGCCATGGTATTCATTGCAGCATAGGAATGAGCCCTCCTTACCTTTTCTTTGTCCACCCGCAGAAAAGGCTTCACAGGTGCGTACGTGCTGGGAAGAAAATGGAGAGGCAGGTGAGCAACCAGAGGTCCCATGTCCTCCAACCCCAAGCTGAGCTGCTGGCGGTTGGGATGCTCTGGGAGGGAGGAGCCAAAGGAGGAACCCAGGGGAGATGTCCTGGTGGTAGGTGAGTGGCCAGCTCAGTGCTGCAGGTGCCAGCCATGTACTTACAACCTGATCTGGCCAGTGGAGAGGGCACTGGCGATCCAGAGCAGGTCCAGGGTTTTGAAGGGCACCAGCACGAAGCTGACATTAGCAGGCAGGTTCCTGGCACTCTCGGGGTACATGAAGTGGTGCGTGGTCCGACTGCCCACATCACCCTCGAAACCCACTGTGGGTGCCTGGTTCATCCTGAGGAGAGAGCAGGGAAGGTGACACCCCCTTCCCAGCCACCCTGTTCCCTTGCAGATGACATGGGTGTACCCTGTGACCTGCTGAAGGCTGCCAAGGGGCAGTTTCCCAGCCCACTGATGCTCAGGGTGCTGGGATGAGCTGGTGGTCCCCCAGCCAGCCCAGGGAGGTGGCAGGGGTGGATCCACTCCAGCACCCAGCAGAACCCATGCAGAACTGAGCAGCTGGAGCAGGGACAACCCCCTCTAACCTGCAGACCAGGAGAGATGCCGCTGAGGTGCCCAGTGGGAATTCAGCACCCACCAGTGCTGCTGGCATCACCTCATGCCTCTGTGCTGGCTGTGGGGCTGAGGGGGTCCCCTGCCCTCACCGCATGATGAAGTCGTGCCCGTCGATCTCTGGCCCATAACCGGAGCCACGCAAGTTGCCAGAGTTGCCGACCACGGCACAGCGACGGCAGCGGCGCGGGTCACGGGAGCGGTAGGGATCCTTGCCTGGCACAATCTGGAAGAGCTTGCTCAGGACCTCATGTGTGTTGTGGGACTTGAACTGGGGCTGCAGCATCTGCGAGGGGCGGAGGAGAAGGGTGTGGGGTCACCAGCCAGTGGCGGACAGAGCTCCCCGTGCAGGAGGTGTGGGGCACAGATGTCTCCTTGCTCACCAGCCACCACCTCTGGACATCAGGTGGCAGGTCCATGTTGTCCTTGGTCCACACTGGGGACACGGTGCCGTCGTAGCGCACATCAAACCAATCAGCAGCCCCAGCCTCATCGGCCGGGCAGCGGCGGCAGGCGCAGCCCCAGGGGTATGGGCCCCCCTTGCTGAGCCGCTGCATGCCGGCGTAGCCAGGCACCAGCTTCACCCGGTGGATGCCGCCCAGCCCGCCAGGGTCCAGGTAGGCAATGCTGTGGTGGGAGTAGGTGAAGAGGAGGGACATGACGAAGACGAGCAGGAAGGCGGTCGAGAGGAAGCAGAAGCGCAATGAGCACTTCATGGTCGGCGAGCGGCTGAGCCAGGGAGGGTGCCCGCTCCGGCATAGGGCTGGGGCATAGGGTGCAAGATGGCGTCAGCCGGCCAGCAAGAGTCCCTGCGGGACACAGAGCTTCAGTTCACTGCGGTGGAACAGGGGGCATGCAGAGTCCCCCAGCAGCCACCGCGCTGGGCTCTTACCTGCTGGGCTGCAGCTTTCCATCCGCGTGGTGCAGCCGTGGTGAGAGCATGTGCTGCTGAGTGCGGGGTCCAGCACACTCAGCACACCGGGCTCAGCCACGGCACCACGCCTCGGTGGCAGCTCCAGGTCCTGGTCCTGGCTGGCTTTCAGCTGTGATGGTGCTCATTATTGCCTGCATTCAGTTGATCTACTGGCACACTGCCCACCACCACCGACTCAGGAACATGTCCACTGCGATACCAGCCTAGAGTGGGAAGGAAGGGATGGTGCATCAGGTCTAGGTATGGCAATGCACATGGCGGAGCTGAGGGGTGCACTGAGCAGCAGGAGGGTGTTGGAGGGGCCACAGGGTTTCTTAATTCCCATTGAGCTTTGCAAAATGCCACCCAGCCCATCCCCAGAGGGGACAAGCTGGTGCGAAGCGAACAGAGATGCTCCTCGCTAGCAGCACCAGGGGAGCTCCCAGGCTCTGCCTTCCCCATCTCTGCCAGACAGAGGCTGAACCATGAACTTGCCTCTGGAGCTGAACAAACGGCTCCTTTCTGAGGCTCAATCCTCGTCCGCTACCAAGCCACAAGCAGCCCCTCCAAACCCCTCTTTCACCAGTTGCTGCTGCCGTCGACAGGCAACAGCCATGTCACAGCCCCGCGGGGGCCCTACGGGTACCAAAACCAGTGGCTGCTGTCCCCTCCATGTGGCAGCGTCCCTCGGGAAAGGTCGCTGTGAAGGTTTGTGATCCCAACGGGTAAAAATAGCCAGGGCAGAGGTGCTGGTGCCTACGCCAGGGGAGGAGCAAGGGGAGACAAAGCCAGACCCTCCTCAGCCAGAAAACCACAAAATAGCTGAAAATCCCTTTAACACAGCTGCTGAGCTGGGGCAGGGTCCATCTCCCCAGAAAGGGGAGGAGGATGCCAGGGCAGGAACCCCCCATGGCAGCATCAGCTCCAAAGCTCAGCACTGGCCCCAGTTAGGCCAGTGCAGAAGCCAGCAGCACTGATTAGGACCTAGCAGGCACCAGGATGCCTCCTTCCCTCCTTCCTATAAAAAAACATCCTATGCAAGATCACAGCTTTCTTCCCAGGGATGGAGGCTGCTGAGCATCTCCAAAAGCTCCTTGCTGGGACAGGCAAGACATAACCATGGCCTAACACCCCCCCCACCCCCCCCCCCCCCCAGCCCATCACACAGACAGCTCCTGCCCAAATCATTATTAACCCACAGTCAAGTGTTTGGCCAAGGGATGACAGCTTTTACAGAGGCAGATAATAGGTGTGCATCCTGGCATTACTGTTGTCCAAGTCTCTTCCCTGTCTCCAGGGGTATTTAATGTCTCTGTGGGACACACACAGCCCACAAGTGACTGCAACAAGGTTTTGGGCTGCTGCCAGTGGAAAACGCAGGGGTGTTTGTTAATGGAGGGTTACATCAAGAAGAATTCAGGACAAAGCCAGTCAAAAGCTCTATATCCCCTGCAGATACACCACACTGGAAGGTTTTGGAGGCAAAAGGCAATTTTGGGCTCTTTTTAGCTGTGCCATGGCACAGATGCCAAGCAGGATGGGCTGATCCCCCTTCTCCTGCTGCCACCACTCTACATCCCATGGGGCTTTATAAGGGCTAAAGGAAATCAGCCATCACATGCTTATGGTATTTTTGCTCCTGGTGAAAGGGGGAAAACTCCCTTTCCAGCTCGTCAGCCCAGCTGGGTCCTGCTGTCGCATCCTGGCATCTGGAGCACGTTTTGTCTTGGGCCTCCCAGAGCTGCCCCCAATGGAAAACCATCCTCCAGCCCAGCATCCTGAAATCCCAGTGGCTTATTTGAGTCATCCCTTCCCTAGCAGGAGCTGGTGGCTGCTGCCATCTGCACCAGTCTTTATAGACCCCAGCAGGGACACAGCACCTACACATCTATCCACACCCCAGCATTAACCGTACCCCCACTGCCAGCTCCCAAAATCCAACCCAACCTGTCATTGCCAAATGAAACCCCACTGACCAGGGGCATTGCAGAGTCTCTTTGCACCAGGGTTTGATGTTTCCTTCCTAAAATAACATGGAATTTGGGGATTTCTTCTGTGGTGAGTGAGCCCAGCAACTCAGCAATACCATTAAATGTCCTCTTGCTCACAAATTTATCCCCAGGTCTCCTTAAATGCCTCCTGAAGACCATGGGCTCATCAAACACGAGTTTCTCTTTTGATTGCAAGACATAATGAAGCGAGGCTATTAAAAGGGCCCGCTGCTTTTACAGTCGAATGATTTTTTCCCATCATATCATCTTTCCTTTTGGGATGTATAAGGTTTAATTTCAGGATGAATTCTGGAGAAATGTGACTGACAGCCCAGGGGCCTGGAGGATGTCTTCCCCTTCCCCATCAGTTGTAACACCATTGAGCACATCCCTAAGCTGGCTTTTTTTTTGTCTTTTTGGCTTTGTTTGCTCATTTCTAAGATATCCTGAGGCTGTTGCACTGATTTCCTTGCTGGTAAATGACAGGGTGGGCACAGGAAGGAGTTGTCCCCAGGAGATGGGGGTCACCCTGCTTGGGGCCGGTGAGAAGGGGCACAGAGAAGCAGAGGCAGCATTGCCCACACCGGCTGCTGCTCCTCAAAGGCATGCTGGGGCTGGGAATTCCCCCAAAAGTCATCGGAAACACACCCCTGGGTATTCAGGTGCCACCTTCCCACAGCCCCTTTGCAGGGATGTCACCTCTGCCACTGCCAAACCAGTGACCGGGTGGTGGAGCTGTGCCTGGCTTCTGGAGGTGGAAGAGGGGGCAGTGTGTGGGGATGGCTCCGCCTCGGACCAGCATTCCTCTTGCTGTCATGGATGGAAAAAATGAGATTTAGCGATTTTTTTTCTTTAACAGGAAGGGAATTGAATCTTCTCCTTCAGCCCCAGGAAGGAAGAAATACCAAGTCACGATCCGTTCTTGTTCCAGGCCTGGCTTCAGCAAGCAGAATTACTATAAAAACTCAAAACCCCTCAAATTCACTTTTTTCCACAGCCCAACTGGCTGCCCGAGCTCGCAGCCCCCCCAGGCGCTGCTTTAGCTGGGGCTGTCAGCTCATGTTAGCTTGGAACGGTGACTAGGAATCTGTCGGAGGCAGCACAGGAAGGGGCGATGCTCCTGTCCTTCTGCATCAGTTGGCTTCCAAATCCAAACTGAGACCCAGCAAGAAAAGCATGGTTAATTAAAAAGGTCCTTTCCTGTACTGCCCACCCAGAGGGATCATATTTTTCCCCTTTATCTTTTTTTTTTTTCCTCTCTGGAAGGTGGATGGGAAAGGAAGCAAGCCCAGTGTTGGTGCTTTTTCTCCCTGTTAAGTGATGCCACGAAGGGCTGATGGCACCAGGGATTAACAGGAGAAGCCAATTTCATGGGTTAAGCCATCACCACCACCTGACAGCAGTAAGGACCAGGTAACTTATTCTTTATCCTGTTAATTAATCATACTCTTATCAGCCAGCTCAATCAGCTAATGGAGCCCAGTTAATTGGTTGCTGGCCATGGCAGCAATTCCAGGGTTTCCTCGTGCCCAGCATCCAGAGAGGTTATTTCAGGCTCATCCCTCAGCACTGGGATGAGGCCAGGAAAGAGCCTGGGAGGCCAAATACTCGGCATGGAGCTGGGCCAGAGCCAACCACTGGTGAGGTCGTTTCCTACAGGATTTGGGGGTGCAGGGGAGGTGCCGGCAGTGGGAAAGTTCAGACAGGGATGCTCCCATCCTTGTGGTTGGAAAGGGCTTGCAACATCCCTGCACTCCAGGGTGGCTGATAAGCCCAAGTCTGCACTCTCCATGTGGCCTCATTATGCCCAGGTCGCTGCACTGGAGACAGCCTCAGCTGAGGACAGGCAGGGAGAGGACAGGAAGTCGCTGCTCAGTTTGATGCAGTGGAGAAACTCTGCCCGCCCCGGCCTTGAATGCCTGCAGAGCCAGCCATAGCCAAAGGGCAGACCCAGCCCTGCTGCCCTGCACCCCCAGGCACCCACTCCAGAGCCCCCGGTTTGCACCAACTGCCTCACTGACTGGTACTACTGACCTGGGTACCACCAAGCCACCAGGTTGTGTAGCACCACATCAGATACCACTGGTCTGGGCACCATGGAGCTGGGTCACACTGAGCACCTGAGCTCAGGCTGGCTAGCAGATGGGGTGGCCAGCGAGTCCGGGCAGAGCAGGGGAGGCAGAGCCTGGTGCTCACCACCACCCACTGCTTCCTCTCCTTCATCCTCCCTCCAGCTCCCCATGCAACGCACTCCAGGGACACCCCCAAATTGGTCTCTCCCTGTCCTCAGCCACCTGCAAGGATGTGGCACACTGCAGCAGGCATGGTCCCCAGCAAGGGCAGACTCCTCCTCCCCTTCATCACCAGCACCCAGCATGGAGAGAAGTGCTCCCCCTCCACTCTTACAGCTCATATTCCCCGGCCATAAGGCTCATGATCCATGCCTCACCGGGAAAAAATGTGCAGGAGTGCAGGATGGGCCAACACCAGGCTGGGGAGCTGACTCCAGCCATGGCCTTTTGCCCAGGGAAGGCAAGCAGGGATGTGAGGCCCCCACTGCATCCCTCTCCCTGGAGCTCAGCAGCTCCAAGGATGGGAAGCGATGGAAACCTGTAGGGTTTGAGGGCTGGTTGATGGGTGCTGTGACCAAAAGCTCCATTTCTCCCACAGGACGCAGCCCGAGGAGAGAACTACAACCTGTTTTGCTTGTGGGAAGGGCTGAGAGGACCTTGAACCTGTTAGGAAAATTGTACCTAGGAGATTTCATCACAGGGATGTTAGGAAAGGCTCCACCATTGATCCCAGGACAGACCAACAATTGCCAGGGGCTCCCATCAGATGTAAAATAAGAGCAGGACCCAGTGAGGGAACCCAGCTTCTCCTCTCTGCTAGTCAGGGCTCTGCTTGGACACTGAGAAGAAGGAGCATTTGCATGTTCCTAATTAGCTCAATTATGGCTGCAAATCAAAGGTCCTTTGGTGGGGACATGGTGGCAAAGTGCCTGCACCTTGCTCTGGTTTTCTAAGAGTTACTGTCACTGGGGTTACTTTAGAGCCCCATCACTGAAAGGAAAAAATACAGATTATACATATTTCTTATTAAACATATTATATATGTTTATATGTATTCATCATTCATCCATATGTGGTTTGGGGAGCATCTCTGGGAACTCTGCCACAGAGCCAAGGCCCACATTTCTTGCAGTCTCCAAAAAAACCTTTCAGGACATGCCAATGGCAAAGGGCAACCTGGAGCTGAGAGATCCCCTGGAGCCCAAGACCAAGGTTCACAGCCTCTCCCATTACAACCCAGGCCCTCAGGGACCGGCAGGCTCTGATAAATCACAGCTCATTGGGAAGCACTGAAGCCAGCCCAGCCGCTGGAGAGCAATTAGCAGTTTGCACTCTTGCAAGAATTAAATGCAGCAGGAGGAGATGAAAGCCATTAAGCTGCTGGGACCTTGGCATGGGCCAAGCTGGGGTGGCATCTGGAGTGCCAAGAGCCGTCGGGAAAACCATTTTGCCCTTGGAACCACCAGTGCCTTCGGCCAAAAGTGCCAGTCTGGAGTTGTTTGGGCATGAAAATTTCAAGCCCAAGTCAGTTCACCCAGTGTGTGGTTGCCAGGGCTCTCCTGAGTGCTCTCCTCTCCCTGCATGCCTCCAGCGCCAGCAAGACGTGGGCGAGCAAGCAGAGCGCGTCTTGCCATTCCCAAGAACCGCCATGAGCTCCTTGGAGGAGAGGGAAAGGCTTTTGACAGGCAGCTGCTGCAGGCAACCGGCAGCAGGGCTGCTGCTCACTGCCAGATGGGGACAGACAGACAGACAGACAGACAGGCAGAGGGGCATGCACATGGTGGTTTGCAGGGGAAGGCAGTTTTCTCTTCCCGCCCCAAGCATCACTGCTGCAGACACAACATCTGGCTCTAATAAAAGGGGAAGAAAAGGCAAACCAAGCCCAAAGTGCTGAGCAACTTCCCGTCACAGCTCACTGCCTCGGGATGGCTGGGATGTAGCCAGTGTGCTCGGGGACATGCTGGAAAAGGGGAGATCAGCAGATAACAGGGGGCAAAACTACCTCCACCAGCATGGAGCCCACACATCCTCCTGGAGGGAAATGCAGCAAGTTTGGGGGCTCTGAGGTTATTTGGTTTCACTCAGCCATGTTTTTCCCCCGTACACAGAAAGAAGGGATGTGGCCCTTTGTCCAGTCCAAGCTTCCCCGCTGCCCAAGCACCCTCCTCATACCCCAAAATCCTCCTGCTGGCATGGGGAGTCCTCACTCTGGGGAAGTATCTGGGAGCTTTGCAATAAACACTCTGGCTTCACAGCTGGAGCCCCAGCAAAACCTCACCTTCTCAGCAGCACCCAAGCCCCCTGCGTGCATGGGGACCCCTTGCATCCCCAGGCCCTGAAAGCTCGGCCCCAGCACCCCAAAGGCCGTGCTTCGGCCGGGGAGACACCCCTAACCCCGGCTGGTTGGAGGCTGACCGGCTCCCACACTGGCGCCGCCACCTCGCATACACAGCCGCAAGCAGGGGACATGTTCCTGCTCGGTGACACAGTTTCCAACCCTGTCCCCAGGGCCGCTCGCGCTGTGTTTGTGAAATGCTGGCTGCCACTACCCCGGCGAAGACGCCGTGTGTCACGCAGCCATGTGTCACTCTGCTGCTGAAGGACCTCACATGCACATTGTCACTGCTGGGGACTGGGGGCACCTTCAGACAGCGTCCCCCCTTACTCCGGCCCCCTGTAGCCACCCCAGCTCTGCCCCCAGCACCCCTCACCGGGGTCCGTGCCCTGAGCAGCACTCCGGAACACTCGGCTGGAGAGGGCCAGCTCGCCGGGGAGCACCCCCAGCCCCGACCCCCTCCTTCCAGGGCCGAGCATCCTCCGCGGGGCTAGCACCGCGGGGCCAGGGCCGGCACATCCTCGCCGGGGCTGATCCCAGTAAGTCTCGGGTGCGTGCTCCCCAGCAAGGGGGCAGCTCCCGGCCACGCTTCCCCGGCGCACCCCTGCCCCGGGCCCGCTCTCCGCCGCTGTACCTGGCTCGGCTCCTCCACGGCCCCGACACCGGGCGCACGCGGGCCCCTCTGCCGCCGCTGCCGCCGCTGCCGCCGCTGCTGCCGGCCCGCCGCTCGGCGCCGCGCCCTCCGCGCCGCGAGGGGCTGTGCGGGGCCGGGCTGGGCCGAGCCGCGCCGTGCGGGGCGGGGGATCTGGCCCGGCAGCCTGGGAGATGTAGTCCGCTGCAGCCCGGGGGGCTTGTGGGACTTGTAGGAGGAGAGCCCACCCGGCCCACCAGCACCTCTGGTGTGTGTGCCGGTGCACCGCCCGGCGCATCGGCTACCGCCGGTATAACCCCCGCGTACCCACCGGCGCATCGCAACCCCCCCCGGGATCCATCCTGGTATCCACTCGGCTCGTTGGCGTCCGTGAACGCCCTGTACTCCTCCCTGGTACCCACCCCCCTACACACCCCGACACATCAGCACCTCCTGGTACCCACCCCCGCACATCGGCATCCCTCGGTGTCCACCCCGCTACCATGCCCCCATCCCCATGCCAGTACCCACCCGGCACATCAGCACTCCTCGGTACCCAACGCCCGCACACACGGCTCACCCACCAGCAGCCCACCGCCCCCCTCCACCCCAACACCCCCAGGGCATCCACCCCGGGGCGCACATCGGCACCCACCGCTGCTACCCTGCTCGCCGCAGGGGAGCCGAGCTGAGTCCGGGCGGGCTCGTGACACAGGTGACACAGGGCACTTAGGGGTGCGAGCCTCCGGCTGCTGAGGGTGCCTTTTTGGGGCAGAAAACGTAAAAAACCCCATGATCCCTCTGAAACCACCCTAGGGGCGGGGGAGAGGCACTACAGCGCCGGGGCAGGGGTACACTGTACCTTTAAGCAGCCCAGGCCTGCCCATGCGCGAAGCGCACGCTGGAAGATGTAGTCCCTCACCGCAGGCCTTCCGCAGAGAGTGCTGGCGGCTTGGACTACATCTCCCAGCGTGCACAGCAGAGCAGCAGAGGGTCCGGCGCAGTTATGGCGGCGGAGTGGAGCGTCCTCGTCCTCACCTGCCAGCGCGGCGGCTGTGTGTCCGCCTTCCAGCGAGGCAAGCGGCGGGGCTGGAGCTCGCCCTCTCCCCCCGGGCCGAGCGGGAAGGAGCGGGGGGTGCCAGCTCTCAGCGCCGCCCGCCTCTCGCTTGGCAGAGCTGGAAGTACGCCGGCTGAGGGGCAGCCTGGGCCCGCGGCCCCCGCCGCTGCTCCTGGCCGTGGAGGACCCATGGGCCCGCCTGGGCAGCGGCGGGGCCACCCTCAATGCCTTGCTGGTGGCTGCCGAGCACCTCAGCGCCCGGGCGGGCTGCACGGTGAGGGGCCTTCCCCTTCCGGGGGAGCGGGGTGCAGCCTCTGGCGGGGCCGGGGAGGCTGCAAGAGGGTGGGGAAAGGGGTGGCTTCCCTGTCCCCAGTGACTGTTCTCTGCACTGCTCTCCCAGGTGGTGACCTCCGATGTCCTGAAGGAAGCCCACATCCTCATTCTGCACACGGTGAGAGCCGGCCTGCAGCCCAACTTGAAACGCTCTACAGCGTTTCCTCTCCCTCCCTGTCACAACCCCTGCCTTCCCCTCCCCACCAGGGCCGTGACTTCTCCTTCGATGACTGTGGTCGGGCCTTTACTTGCCTGCCTGTGGAGGAGCCCGGTGCTGTGGCTGAAGCTCTTATCTGCAACCTGGACAGCCTGCTGGGGACCATGACACACCGGGTCTGTGTGGCCTGTGGAACGGGGTTCTGGGCTAGTGCTGTGCAATGCTAGGCACCCAGGTGTGAGGGCTGAAGCCTTCGGGGTGCCTTCAGCTGGCTCCCAGCAGGGTGGGAAGGGTGTGAGGGTCGGGCCCCTTCCCTGCTCTCCCTGGGCATGTGGCCCTTGTCTCCGCAGCTCTGTGTGGGCTCCCCGCCCGGCGTGTGGGTCTGCAGCACTGACATGCTCCTCAGTGTGCCCTCAGCACCAGGTGAGTGGTGCCAGCCTTGCCTCCAGCACGTGCTTTGCTTTGGGACAGGGGGCAGAGCCTGTAGCACAGCTGGTCTAGCCTGCAGTGTGCTCTCATGAGTGTGCGGATGCTTGGGCATTGCAGGCGCACGTACAGTTGGAGCATTTGTCATGCTCAAAGCAAGGTGGCCAAGACTGAACACTGCTTTCATCTCCTCTGACATACACCCTGTTTTCAGGCAGTTGAGCCTTGGGCAGGTATGTGTGCTGCCCCAGTGGACACTGCTCTGTGTCCCTCTCCTCAGGGATTGACTGGGATGGCCTCCAGGGTGTCAGAGTAATTGCAGTGCCTGGGAGCCAGGCATATGCCAGGAACCACGGGGTCTACCTCACTGATGAACAGGTCAGTAGCAGCTCCTCCTCCAAGGGGTGCCCTTGGAGGCACAGGGGTCCTTACCCCTCCAGTGCCTTGGGTGCTGAGGTCCCAGCCCTGCTGTGGCTGCTTGGCTTGGGGCTCCCTGAAAAGCTCATTGTGGTGGTCTCATTCCCAGGGGCTGGTGCACAACATCATCTACAAAGGCACAGAGGCCCAGATCCAGCAGTGTGCAGGGCCTGATGGCACCGTCCCACTGGTACGGCATGACATGGGCATTGGGGCCTTGCCAGCCCCGTCCTTTTTGTCACCATGGCTGCAGCCTCAGCCCTGCTGTGCCCTTGCAGGTGTGCGGGGTGGTTTTCTTCTCCTCGGATGCTGCTGAGCAGCTTCTGGCCACCCATGTCATCCCTCCTCTAGATGCCTGCACGTACATGGGACTGGACTCAGGGGCACCACCCATCCAGGTGACAGCCCCTCTGCAGAGGACAGGACTCCTTACCCCATGGGTGCTGCTGCTAGGCATCTCTTTAGGGTCTGTTGCCCTCTAGGGCTTCTGCCCCACACACCACACCACATTTGGGTGGGAGAGGTGGTAGGAGGGCAGCACCCAGCAGCAGGGTGGGGGTCAGGGTGGCTGCACCCAACAGGTCTCTTCTCTCCTTAGCTCTCCCTCTTCTTTGACATTGTGCTGTGCATGGCAAGGGGGGTGACAGAGCAGGATTTTGTGAAGGGTGGTGGTGACACCAGTGTGAGGAATGCCCGCTCCGTGCTGTGGGCAGCTCTCCACGCCTTCCCACTTAGCATGGGTAAGTGATGCTGCGGTGGTGCACTGACATGACCCATACCTGAGCCCTCTTCCCCTCTGTGAGGAGAAATGGCGTGGTCAGGGCCTGGCTGTTTCTCCGCACAGCTGCAGGTCCCCAGGTCTTTTCTGTCCCCCTTTGACTGGCGGTATGTTCAACCTGGCTGTCCTTGGCTCACATGGGTGTTGGGCACAGCCACATTGGCCGTTGGTGTGCTGACAGCTTTCCTGTCCCTCACAGCCTGCATTCCCAATGCATCCTATGACTACATGACCACCTCTGCGAGCGACCACATCCGCAGCCTGACGCTCCTGCCCAGCTCTGCCAGCCACCTCTGCTTCTGCAAAACAGCCCATTCCCATGTGGATGTATGTCCTTCCACCCCCACCCTTGCTCACACACATGTTCTGGTGGTTGCTCTGGGCTAGAACCTGGTCCCACATGCCTCTGTGCCCTTGGCAGCAGCCCTGTCTCCTGGAGGATGGCTCTTCGGTCACCAACTGCTTGCTAGAAGGAGCCGTGCGTGTGGCGGCAGGCAGTGTCATCCAGCACTGTCACCTCCAGGTACGTGGCTGCGATGGGGGTGACCCCAAGTTCTCAGTACGCTGGATGGGCAGCAGAGTGAGGTGGCCCTGGGGTGTGGGACCCACAGCTATGAGATTTGGGGTGCGCTTCCCTTTGGGGCTGCCTTTCAGGTGGTGCTGGGGACCCTGGTGGTTGTTGCCCTCCCCAGGCACCCCTGGCCTGTCCCTCCCTGGGAACCAGGGCATATCCTCTCTCATGGCTGCAAGCCTTGGCCTGAGTTTCTGCAGTTCCGTGTCTTTGCGGCCCCACAACAAAGCAAAGTGTCCCCCTCTGGGACCTGGCTCCTGCTGGCCCCAGCTTGTCTCCCAGGGTGTTTTTCCTTTTCTGATGTTGGGATCTGGCTCTAGTTTGGGGTCTCAGAGCCCTGCTGCCTCTTCACAGGGTCCCCTGGAGATTGGTCCTGGCTGCCTGCTTTCTGGCCTCACTGTAGGCTCCTCACCAGCCCTGCAGGGCTTTCCCCTCCATGACGTTGTCCTGCAGGGCCACCACGTGCAGCTGCGTGATCTGCCTTGCCATGTGTTTACTCTCACTGGCCGCCTTGATGACTGGCAGGTACAGGGGTGGCAAGGCGCTGAGAGTCTCCCCTCAAAGCCAGCATGTAACCAGCTGCTCCATCCCTCTGCAGAGCCCAGCTGAAAGGGCCACCTACTTGAACATGCCCTGGGCTGAGTTTTTCCATCGGACAGGCGTACGGTAGGTGTCACATGCCAGGATGGGACAGAAGACCTGGCTCCCCTGGGAGTGGCTGCAATGGGGAGGTGTCACGGCCACCTCAATCCATCCTGCATTCTGGCTGCCCTCTGGAAGCTGTCCTCAAGGCCCAGGGCGGTACTGATGTGCTCTCCCTCCATCAGGGAAGGGGACCTTTGGGATGCTGAGACGCCGCAGGGGAGCCGCTGCCTGCTGAGTGCCCGGCTCTTCCCAGTGCTGCATGCCCACGAGGCACTGGGGCTGGAGGATGTGCTGTGGCTGCTGGCCCCAGTGGCTGGTGAGCGGCTGGCACGCTGGCGAGCGGCCTGGCGCATGTCCTGGCAGGAGCTGCTGCCCTGCCTGGACAAGGCGGCTGAGCTGGGTGCCCGCCAGGCCCTCTTCTTCCTGCAGGGCCAGCACAAGGTGCGGCGTGTGCTGCTGGGACGCAAGGACAGCAGCCTCCTGCCCCTAGCCCGCAGTGCTGTCCATGAGGGCTACCATGAGGCTGTGTTGGGCACACTGGATGAAGGTGAGCTAGACTCACATGAGCTATGTATTGCATCTCTGGATGTCATGGCTGTTTGGTGCTCCCCACCCTCTCCAGTGACACCCTGTCATTGCAATGGCACCAACAAACCAGGACGCGTGCAAGCCATGCAAGTCCTTCTTCCCGGGAGCCAACTCATTGCACTAGTGGGGTGGTAAGACACTGGAACAGGTTGCCCAGAGGAGCTATGGCTGCCCCATCCCTGGCAGTGTTCAAGGCCAGCTTGGACGGCTTGGAGCAACCTGGTCTAGTGGAAGGTGTCCCTGCCTGTGGCAGGGCATTGGAACTGGATGAGCTTTAAGGTCCCTTCCAACCCAAACCAGTCTAAGGCTCTATGATTCTATGGCCTGCAGCCTGCCTGTGGCTTTGCAGCCTCCTTTTGTTTTCTAGTTGCCTCCACGG